GATCTCATCGGCAATTTCGACCCAAATAGGTGGTAGACAACTCGGCCTGGAGTTGTCCACTTTGCTGGGGTCACCGCCTATCGGAATCGGCTTAACCACTGAGCATTTCCATTCGCTCGACAATGAACCTTCGGATAGTTGTCTGTTGAGCAAGTCAGTCACAGCGGGTGAGGTGATCACCGATAGGGATTTGAGAATCAGCGGGTGGAGTACGTCAGGGTCAGTAGGTTTCGTGCTGTCAAGGTTGGTGAGTAGTTGATGCACCTCTTCAACACCACAAACCAGACTGTCGAGTTGGGTAACCGCGGTACACGTCGAACTCGGTACAGACACTTGGTCATTTGTAACCACGGAAGCGAAGTGCGTCGCTATGGCGGACGCACGCTCAAAGCTAGATGTTAGGGTCTGTCCGTCCGAACCCTCTAGCACTGGTGGATTACCCTGCTGGCTTGAGGCGCCGCTTCACTTAAGCGACTATTCTTTTCGGAGCTGTCTTTGTGACGCTTGCGATCTGCTGTTCGAAATGCCGGCGCTTTCTCGTTTTTGCACTATTGCAAGTATTTCCCTGTCTCTCATACGCCTCCTAATCATTGGAAGAGCTGGAGAGGAGGAATTTGTCCCACAATTTGCGCCGCCTCTGAGCCATTTTATCATACTCCTTGTGGAACCAATGCAGCCTGACTGGTCCGACTTTCCGACAATTCAGTGGTACAAATTGAGAACACATTAATGCCAGTCTTTCTCTAAAAACAGTCCAACAGTCTTCCACTGATCCAGTTTGTGACAGAGACCAATCTACTTAGCTCACCCTCTGAGTTAGACTGTCGAACTTAGTTTTCCAATAGTTGTGAGCTGTCTGTAGTGGATGGGAATATGGAAAAGATTGATCCAAACTGGCTATGAGCATTGAGTGATCGCTTACTGCTAGGGGCTCCAGGACCTGAACGTCATACACATGTTGTTCACTGCTTGCTAACACCAAGTCCAAGCACGACGGAGTTGAGCGCGGTGCTATTCGAGTCGGCCGGTATATGTGTTGCGCTGCTCCACCTTCAGGTACTGAGTCCAAGAACTTTGTTTTGACCTCGCAATGTCCTGGTACAAGTTCAACTCCGGGCCAACATATCCCAGGACAATTGAAATCACCCATGAGTAAAAAAGGGGGACGACTCATGTAGCTTCGGAGATATGACAGGCAATCCAAACAACGGCTCAAGGGACTGCGATAAAATACACCCACGAGCAACTCCCTACGTTTGAGGTGGCTCGAGCACCACAGCTGCTCACACAGACCATCATCGCTTCTGTAGACGCTCACAACTCTCCCACACAAGGAGGACCGGATGTAGAGCAAGACGCCACCGCGGGCAGTCGATAGTCTATCGCAGCGGAAGCATGAGTAGCCACTGAGTTCGATTTCCTGGGCTCACCTCAGAATTCAGCCACGTCTCTATGAGTCCTATTTTGCCTGCCCCTTCAGATGCAGCGAAACGACAGAGTTCCTCGCTCTTGTTCATGAGACTACAAATGTTGGTAAAGGCTACACACAGACCGCAGCAAGAACCACCGGACGTACTTGAAGTGTGTGCAATCTGTTTGTCGTGATTCGTGGAATCTTGGAAACGGCCGGAAAATTTACGTTACGGAGATCCGTTTCCCCATCACCATTTCGTCTCTTCAGTTCAATGACGACAGATTTGAGTCGTTCTCGATCCGGACCTAAGTTTAGACGAACATGGAGCTTCAGACCTTCCAACCTATTTAATCTGGACAAATTAAGCCTCGGACTAACTTCATCCACAAAAGTGATTCTCATTGGCCGACTCTGTTGATCACCTTTCTTTCCGAGACGGGTAATTTGCTTCACTTTCAACCCGTCCTTTCTTACTTCTAGGGGTCTGTCGATTAGGTTTTGTAAAAGCTCGACGTTATGATCGTATCATATATGGGGAGTTGGATCACTGGACTGAAGCGCGTGGAAGATCACAAGGTTAAAACGCCTCTGGTCGGCCAAAGTTGACCTTGCAAAACAAGGATTTTCTCGCGCTTCATGTGATCTGTCGTTCATTTGCAGCGGCTGAACTCTTCATTTTTTGCCTTTTCTTTCCTCGTACTTTCCAAGTGTTTTCAGTGCACAAATCTTCACACACTGGGCCATCTGTGCCTGTAGAATACAACACAGGTGAAATATTCGCATATTTTATAGCTGCTCTGCTGGTAACTGCGGGACTCCGTGCCAGTGAGTTTGCACGGGATGAGCAGGAAAGCTTATCTGAAACCTGGAGGCGCTTCGGGCTAGCTTGTTGAGCCAAACACGCGGAGCTGCCCTTAATGGAATGATTAACCCTACAAGGCCGTTTGCGATCATGCTCTATTTTCTCCGGCTGTATCTCGTCTCCACTATTCGTACACACAATTTGAACGAACTCATGTTGGATTTCACGAAAACACTGAAAATGCTCAACCGATAGTCCAGTGCATGAAATATGAAATTTAACGTGACACATAACACATGTGAGTGCATTTGCTCGACTTCCGACAACCTTGGAACATGAACCGCAACGCGATTGTGTCGGCATTACTAAAAAATCCGGGATCAAGATGGCGGCTATTTGTAGGGCACAAAGTCATAGTAAGATCTCCGAAGTTAAACAGAGAAAACACAAGTATTAATGGTCGAAAAATTCAGAATCAGTAATGAAACTGAATGCAATTGTAATTTCCATGAAATAATTCCAATGCACGGAGAAATCTAACAAGAAATAATCTTGTTAACACAGCCAGAGAAACTCAACCGGAAGTGGCTAACCGCAGCCTAGTTTTATATATAATATTTTCTATATTACTATTCAACACTTGCTCAGTATACAATTGAAAGTGCCACAGCACATGGTTAACAACAACAAAAAGGGGAACAGGTAGTCAATGGCAAGATTTAGAAGGTTTACGCGTTGTGTATGCAGTGATCTTCTCGGTCGACCAGGCCGAGGAGGAGTTGACTTAAGGGACCCCACATCGAGCTTTTGATCATAAAGTCCTCATCTGCAAGGCGATTCACGAAGGCCGTTGACAGCCAGCTGGCACATTCACCCTCTTTGTGCTCGGTAGCAGTCCACAGAGAAGCCGTGCCCAACAAAGTTGTTCATCCGCCCTCTGTTAGGTACTCATCTCAGTAGTCAGTGCCTCTGTAGCTGGTCACAGTGGCTTTGACACAGCGCCGTACGAGCTCTTGTAGTGTTTGGTGGAGAACCAGGTGACCAGCCCAGAACTCACTACGCTCTGAGACGCTGCCGCTGGTTGTCCGCGACTGCTCATTCATCTTGCCTGCAAAGCAAACGAGACTTATCCGCAGTCACGTCCACAAGGAAGACATTCTCCATTCCTCAACTTGGGGACGCGCCCGATAGCGTAAAGCTCCGCGACGAGGTCACAAACCGTATGGTAGAAGCACGAGGCGCTTTTGCTAAACTTCGCCACCTATACCACCAGTGCGACATCACTCTCTACCTTAAGGGTAGAGTGTACAATGCAACCGTACCTTCGACTCTGCTGTATGATTGTGAAACCTGGACCATTCGATCAGCGGACACAAAGAGGCTAGTTACCTTCGACCACTGGTGCCTTCGCAGTTTGGCCCATTTCTGTTGGGAACACCGTGTGAGTAATGACCGTGTTCGACGTCTTGTTTAAACTAGGAAGAAGAAGTAAACCGCTCAGCAAGATGTATCACGTAGCAGGCTCCGATGACAAAGCGGCATGTTGCGCATACCGGCACACCGAGTCTCGCGACGTGCATTGTTTGCTCGACGGTTTTCTGGATGGACGAAGAAGAGGGGTGGTCAAGCGATAACTTGGTCAAGAGGAATGAAGGTCCTTAGTTCGAAGTTGGCCTCGGTTGTAGCCTGTCGGCTCCCTGGTTGGGGTCCGACAGACGATGAACACGTTTGACTGGATACACTAACCGACATGAGTAAGAGCCGACCTCATTGGCGTTTGTGTTGTGAGTTTCTTCATCCTCCCCCTCCCCTCTCCTTCCAACCACGATCTCAAGTACTAGGCATAATGTAATTCTTTTTTATGGCACTATAGCTGGCTGTTAGCATTCCGGAACAGTGTCCGTCCGTTACTGGTGACTCAACCGGCTTGCCTATGTTGCATGTTTTTTCTCTTTTCATATGTATAGCGGCACAATAGCTGAGATGTTTTCCACCTCTAGTTAACGTGTATAATGATGCCCATGATCACTTACAGTAACATGCGTAGAGGTGGTGACAAAAATGCTCTGGAAAATCTGCAGAGATCATTCACTATACGTCTGTTTAGTAGGACGTCTATGACGAGCTGTCAGGAGCGTTGTCAGCAGCTTCACCGCTAGTCTCTTTGTTTGCGTCGACCATAACACACCTGGATGCTCATGCACAATCCGCTAAGCCAAAAGCACTACAACACAGCTTCACTCAGCGACTACGCAACATGACCTACAAACAAATTGTACGAACAACCAGAACAACTGTTCGGTTCAATTTCCTCCTCGTGAGATCAGTCGTCCTGTTGAATAGCCTGTCAACCACTACCAGATCTTGTACAAAACAAGCACACCTCACATGGTACTTGTTAGTGTCCTCGATCAGAACGCGATAGCAACCGTTTTTCATCATTGGGTCAGTCAGATGCATTCTTTTATGATGGACCAAAAATATTTTGGCGGGAAAACTGTTGCGCAATACCCAGCCCCAACCAAACCATGTATCTCCGCGTGTTTTAACAACGCATACACTACTGATCACTTACTCTCACAAGAGAGTAGTAATGATTGTACCTAATAATCCGCCCCTATTACAAGAACAGCTTTCGCACATCCCAGAAATTTGTTATTATCATTTCGGCGTTACATTTTGTCCATCGACATGTATACGCTGAATGTATACACGTCTTCTTATTTGTCTGAGTATACTTCATCGGTGTGTTTCGTTCAAGTTTCTTTTCTATACCACTTGTAGACCTGGAAATCGAACTTTCCTGTGTAGATGAGGCTGGTCGCGCATCTGGCATGGGTATATTAGGGCGTCATGAACCTGGGACCGTGGGCAACGCCGGTGGAATGGCCGGTGGGATATTACTACGCGGTTCTCCGGAATTAATTCAACGCCTGTCCAAACAAAAAGAATATCCTCTACTCCCACTCCTTGAGAAAGTGAGGCATTTTACTGTTCGCTTGTCTGTCCATTTTTGCGCATAGCAGTAACTGTCTCCATTTCACGCTATTCGATTTTTCTTCCTACCCTTCTGTTGACGTTGCATTGACGGCACCATTGTAAGGGAGATTCCTCTTCTCATTGTCGTTCGCCATTCTGATACGTCTGTGGCGTCGTTGCGACGTTCCGTTGTCGGTAACTGGCAGGGTTTACAATGCCTATATTTGTGCGGTGCTGTTGTACGGTAGCTAAACCTGGTCGATTTACGCGATTTATGCGTCGGATTTCGACCTGTGACAATAGCTGTTTGCAGAAGATGGGTCATGTGCAGTACGAGCACCACGTTTGCTATGACGACAGGCCTTCCTCAAAACAGGATCATATGACGGCGGTATTACCGGTGGTCTAGTCACATCCGCATGCCGTAACAGCGATCGCCAAAACGCGCTTGATTTGCTTACAGGAGGCCGCAACGGAAGAAATCGCGTGGAAGTCATCCAAACACATAACTGCAAACGGTCAGGGTAATGCCTCCCAGTTTGGCTCTAGTCGGTCACCTTCGTCATCTGGTCTGGGAATCCGAGGAGGACATGACACGAGCTGTGTAACACCACAGTTGCTAGACTCATTGTAAAACAAAAAGCCATTTCACTATATTCTTCTGCTCTTTTAATTGTTACGTACGTTCACTGCATGATTCTGATCTATCTATCTCCGCCTTATAGACTGGCACTCACACATACACACACACACACACACTTGTATTTTTATAATCATAGACACGGTATCTTCTGTTTCTTCCGCGGAATATCGGTCTACTCATTCCTGGTTAGCTTTGCCTACTCAAATCTTTATATCGATTTTGAAGAATTCGACCCTACTATTCTACCAAGTGGATGTTGTTCGGTCAGCAGAGCCATCGGCTGTCTTAATCCTACTTCTGTAGTGTCCCATGATGGTTGCAGGCGGGGATTTTGTGCTACACTAATGCCTTTCTCCTTGTCCCATGACATGTGGTCACTTCTTTAAGGCTGATAGATCGAGGATTCAGCATATGTTCACCAAATCTCATGGTGACCGGTCTGAGAGACGTGCAACCAGCACATTTGGGAGCATGTTCAACTCAGCCACTCCGTTTCTTCCTAGTGCTAACCAACACTACACTCTTCCCAATCCCTGTGGTATTGGAACTTCTGGTTCCCCACTGAGGCTGCGGTATTTCCCAACTTATATTCTTAACAATTGCGGGGATGATTTCTATTCAACTACTTTGTCGTTATATCAACGGCAACGTCTCAGTACTGAATGCCGCCTACACCCACAGATTGTCATATGTAGGCTTTGCAATTGGCAAAGAGTTCACACTCAGATCGCATTATGCTAACTCTGTGCAGTTGGAGCTTTTGGCTCGAAACCCCATCCACGAGGTAAGCGCGACCCAGTACTGGTGCACATGAGGGATCACTTTCATCGAAACAAGCGTCACTAATTTCCAATCACTAACCTAGACAAACAAGGCAGATTTATTTGGTCTCTAACCATCGATAAGTCTGATGGAAGTGGTTTCCCAGGTCCAGAAATTGTCACATGGCGCAGCTCACTGGGTTCACGAAATGAAAAACTTTGTTTCCTCGTTTTGGCTCACTTTTATTGCGTCGGCCATTGTCACCGTCTCAGGTGACCATTCTCCTGCCGCCTCCAATCTGTACAGCAACATGCACTGATTTAACTCGCTTTTGTGGTCAGTTTTGTGTTTTTGTCATTACTTCCCCTACCTGTGTTTCGTTGACATACATCTTCAACTTACTAAAGCTTACTTGAACTTGAACGCTCTTCTGTTACACCGGTGGAAACCAGGTTCTTTATGATGCTCCCGTGACTTTGACGCTATATCAGCAACTGATATTTCGTGATTCTGCATTAGCAACTAAATGTGAACTGTATTTCACGCGTTTGTTTTGTTCAGTTTCAATTTTTGGTCATATACTGGATTAGCATCGTCGAAACTTATTTCATTTGATTAATTGCTATCCCTTCGGATAGCACCGTTGTTTGACTCTAAACTTCAAATTCTGATTTGATTCATGAGTTCCATCGCTCTCCAAAATCTAAAAAGCGAACCATCATTTATGGTATTGCTTTCTTTACTTACAGGCATTCTCATTCGAGATCTTTCTCGGAACCAACGGTCGAATTTGGCTAACAGCCCCAACTGTAAAAGAAACAATCTTGTTGGCGAATGTCCTATCTCTGGCGGAACACGCCTCGTTTGCTGAGTGTTTTGAACTGTGCTCTCTTCTAAATCCACGATGTCAGATGGAATGTTCCAATGGTCAATAAGCACGCCATTATTTTGTAACTTTCTATTCGGCTTATCTGGGATCTGGCATTTTGAGTATTTTGCAAAGGAAGTCGTTGCTCTAGGGACCAGCGCTGTCGTCTGCACGTTCATCACACACATGACAGTGGATGATGAGCAACGCTATATCGCAGTTAGAAATCAATCATGGCGGTCCGCTACCATCATCAATGGCCCAGTGGCATAAGTCGCTGACTCATAAGAGTGAGGTCATAGGTTTGATTCCAGCGGCACTCGGCGGTTGCGTGCTACTGACGAGTCCTAACAGGACGAAACGCCCGTCTGGCGCTTTTCTAGATGTTTGGTGGCTGTCTGTCTGAGTCTAACTGCGATGAATCTTCACGAAAACCCAATACACCCCATACCACTTACAAATTGCGTACACTGATTGATTGGAAATGACGTCACGTGACGACCCATTGCGTTCCATCGCAACCCACTCGATTGCGGGGAGCATTGTCCTCGCGATAAGCGAACTGTGTGATATCTGAGCACATGCGGATGAGTCGTCTTGCTACTACTACGTCATTGTTGTCGAGAAACCAATAGCCAGTTTCGTCTTGTTTCACTCTAATGACGATGATAGCCTCACTCGTGGACAAGAAGAGAATACACAACCCACACGACTCTATGACCCACTTCGCCTATGTCTCCGAGAGCTGCTGACTCTGGCTTCTTAGAATTACCGCCCGATTGGACGCTTGAGCACTGCCTGTCGGTGAACATCACTAATCTCATCAAACGAAGTCACCGACCATTCACTAGGCGACTACGGCGTGCTAAGTAAATGAACGATTGCTGTTGTGCACTTTCACCCAGGAGTTGTAACGGTTTCTATGTATGGTTGCCCTGAGTTCGTGCATTCGACCCACCAACTAGATCTTATTGGCAGATTTCGGGATCTTTTATGGGGACCGCGAATTTGGTCAACTCGGTTTCGACTTTGCGTTCGCTCCGTTCCTTTTACCTGTTCATCGTTGTCTAAAAATCCGATTACATCTTTTCCTCGCCTTCGTACTATAAGGGTTTGCGAGATGCGGATGGGTTTCCGTTCTTTAGGAGATACAAAGCCACAGGAAAAACCAACTCACAGTGAAATTAGTCTTAAGTCCCAATTGTAGAGAACGCCGTCTGTCGTACGCGTCATACACAATGGAAGCAGACATTCCATTATATCCACCGTGAATACCGGCTTCCAGATGAATTGGATGGTAGCGTACACACGCCAAGGCAACACTGGTCAAATATCAACACAACTAGAGTACGGGTTGGAAGAAGTATATTCTACTGTATTTTTTGACAATCCGAACGAAATATACAAAGGATGTCATGCTAGAATTGATGAGGAGAGATAAAAACAGTACATTGCTAACCAGTAAAAAGTTCCCCGTGTAGCATATTAGCTGGTAAGAAAAACGCTCGATAAATCTCTTTAAGGAACGATTTCAACTAGGTTGAAAGTGAAAGAAACGGGGCATGCTGAACGTATATCTTTGGAGTAGTTCGTTGTACGAGGGCCTGGGGGTTCTGGTGCGTTAGCATCGGTCGACTTACAAGCAGAAGGTATCAACCTGGAATCGGTCACGACAGTTTTGTTTGAATGTTCAGCGATCGGCTCAACATAAGTTTACTCACGGATTCCTTCGATCCATTCTTTCCTAAGTTGAGGTTTTTGGGTTGCCGTGACAACACCTTGCAGGGGCACCCATGCAAAGATGTTAAAGACTTTCTAACTGCATAATTGCGAAAGTAGATCAACGAACAAGTGTATAAATTCGCATCAATTCATTGTTCGAGTGCAGTGAATTGAAGAGATGTAGACCGTATATTTCGGAAGTGTTGCTAAAGGCATTAAGCGTAAGACAGGATTCTCATGCAAAATATGAGTTCGGTAAGGCAACATCCAGTATCCTCTTTGACGGTATTGCTAATACCAAGAAGTACTGCTCGAATGCGTTCAGACCAACGTATGTCAGGTGAGCTGACTGTATTGGCGGCTTTTACCTCTCGATGGAAACGCTTGACTAGGTCATTTACAGCGGGATGACAATGAACAATGATTTAGCACGGGGAAAACAGGTGTTTATCAAGTCCCCCATCATGGCTGGAGTGAGAACTACAATGGTAAAAATATGTGAGTCGTCTGTTTAAGCGTTGATTGAGCAAATACGGTACCGAATAATGGTATTGTGAAATGAATATTGAATGCGAGCGTACAAGACATCATGGACGCAGTTATGGCTGACGTGCTCCGTGAGAAACATATTTACAAGAGCGTTCTCTTGAACCGCGTCCTTAGGTCTGTGTGACACATAAATCTGTTATGATGACATGATTAATATACTCAAAAGTAGCCTAGCTTATGTAACGAACTGATGGGAGCCAAAAACAACATCCGATCGTTTTCTGATGTTATCCAAGGTGGGGGAAGAGACAACTGAGTTTGGGAGAGAATTCCACGGTTGGCAAACGCGAGGAAAAAGATGATTCCGTCGACACTAGACGAATGTATCGTTCCCTGAGTTTCAAACCGTTGCCTGTGAGGTTGGTGTTATGGCTGGGTTTCAGCAAATGGCGGCATACGTGATTTGGGTCACTCAGTATTTGGTGCACTAGTATGTGATTATCGCGCAGCCTTCGATAGCGTCCGCTGAAAAATCCCAGTAACTTCCGCCTTTGATGTCGCGTAGACCTTCGATGTTCTTTTTCGCCCTGCATTGTGATGTCTCTAGCACCTCGAGGGCGCGCTTCAACCAAGTTTGCCAAGATTGGCCTTAGCGTATTCAATGTCAGGGCGCATGTAAGAGTTGTGCATCAGTGGAACAATGGTGTGAAAAAGCAACGCTTAACAAGTCCCGTGGGATAAAATTTATTGAGAAAATAAATATTCTGCGTAAAGTGCAAGGTTTCCTGTGGGCTCACCATAGACATGCGTAAAACATCCGGATTTTCGCGTGATAAAGCATAAATCCACTGTTGAGCATTTCGGATACCTACCGTTTAATTGCATTATGTAGCCCCTGCCTAATACAAATTATAAAACGAAATGATAATGTGATGATGCTTTTTCACCTCGTTTTTACATATCGTTAGGTTTGGGGCACAAACGACACTCTGGGTGGTCGTTCCACGGCTGACACCCGAAGTGAAAAGGAAGGTTTGCAGCATTCAAGCTGGCTAAACTATTGTCAGTTTCAGAGGATGCTTTTTAGCTTGGTGTTGTTTCGGTTCCAGCAGTGGACAGAAAATGTATTTTGGATTCTACAGTATCTGGTAAACCATTATGAAGTCACCCCGCAAACAGCGACTACTGTACACCAAGGAATTTCAATCTAATGTGGTAAGACCCCTAACCTTCTTAGTTGCTCTTCGTTTAGGAGTGTCGAGAGCAACGGATGCCACGCTTAGTTAGCGTATGCCACATGGGGTTGCACCTAAGAATTAAGCATTTGTGGGAATGTTGTGGCTGAAAGCGACCGAACGCTCTGCGAAGAAGGCCAAAAGTGCTGGATGCCGTTTCTAGACGACTCAGTTTCGAGCATCCAAAATAGTCCTGTACCAGTACACACAAATCACGTTCCTGAGAGGCCTACTACATGATGTGGACTCTGTATGTAACCGTTCACTGCTGATGACGCAGGTGGATCGCCTTGCAACTTGCTGTGTCGAACTGGAGTAGGTTCCCTGCTGACCATTCATGAACGCAATCCAGGCCATGTTGGAGGAAATCTTTATGTGCATTGCCATATTTAGCATCATCAGCGAAAATCGGGAAATTGGAAGAAATACTTTTTGTTAGCTCATTGTAAACACTAGGAATAAGCGCTATTCCAGCACCGAGCCCTGTGGAACACCACATTCCACCTCAGTCGGGTTGGAGAACGATCCTCACACACGCACTTGAAGCTTCTGTTAATAAAGAAAGTTTGCAACCCAAACAAAAGCCGAATCTCCGATTTCATAGACCTGTAGCTTGTGAAGTGGGATGCCGTGATCCAGGCTGTCGAAAGCTCTGGAGAAGTAGTAGTAGTAGTAATCTCAAGTCTATCAACTAGACACAAAGCCAACATAAAACCATGGAGATCAGCGGATAAGCAAGAGTCATCACGTCATAATCATCGTGGCATGCTAGTTGAAGGTGAGCAACACACTTCAGCTAATATGCCGCAGGAAGAATGGAACATTTTGACAAAAAGTAGAACAAAGCATTTGTAGTTTGTTTTTCACACGCCGATTTTGCTCTTTTTTGTCATTTTTAATGTTTGCAGTATTAAAAATGTAAATCAATACAATACTGTACATAATTCTTCCACTGATTCCGGTTGCGGGCCATGTCTGCAAGAGTGCTAATCCATTGGCACTCCTCATCTTTGGGTCCCCATCCTGGAAGACGTACGGATCCAACAGCGGATAGACACGACGTCAGCGATTTCATGTGCTTCCGCCAAGTGGAAGGCTGACCACCACGCGGTCGCCTCCATCCAGGTCCTTGACGAGCGAATAGAGCGCGACGCGGTAGACGCTCAGGTGCCATGCGTAGGACGTGACCGAGCCATCTTAACTGGTGCAACAAAACCAGTTTATTGAAAGGCATACTCGCATTCCCTAAGATGCGACGTCGAACCTCATTACTATTAACTCGATGTTGCTACCAAACACGAGCGATCCTCCTTAAGCAACCGCTTTCGAAGGCAGAAAGACGACGCATGTCTTCCACGCGAATCGGCCACGACTCGCACCCATTCAACAATTCTGAGCGAACTGATACGCTGTAAACGCGGCCCTTTAGTGAAAGTGAGAGGTCGCGACGACGCCACAAGTGCCTCAGATTGACAAACGCTGATCGAGCTTTAGCGATACGAAGAGGAACTTCTTTGTTGATAGTGCCGTCAGAAGAAACACGGCTCCCGAGGTAGACGAAACAATCTACCTGTTCAAGTTGTGCGCCTTCGAGAGTGAGTAAGGGAGCAGGTAAAGCCAATCCTTGAGCAGTAACTTAC